TCGCGCCGCGATCCCGTCAGCGCGGCCGGGACCGCCCCGGCCTCCGGGCGGAAAGCGGGCGGGAGGCGCGAAACCCGCCGGGAATTCTGCTCATCCAGCAGTTCTTACTGTAACAGGACAAACGTGTCCTCTTCAGTAATGCTTTGGACATTATCGGTTAACTTCCAAAATAACTGGGCACTCCAGGCTGCTCAGATGCTAAAACTAACGTTCAGCACCAGCTTTCTGCTTCGCAAGCAGGTATTCCACTAAAACAACCCCCAAAAACTGCACACTGGCTTATGAGAAGAGATACCCTATTAAACAGCATTTTCTGACAAGCGCTATTTTCCAGAGATTTCTGAAAAATCTGCATGCAAGTTTCACCAATTCCTTTCTAAACTGAGAGCAAACCCACCAGTATTCCCTGACTTAAGGGGAAAGACAACCAAAACTGAGCTAAACACCCTCACCACAGGAAGAAAGCATCTTACTTCATTCTATGTAAAAAATAAAAATAAAAATAAAACCCACCAAAACCCCCCACAAAACAAAACAACAACCCACCACCTTCAAATAGCAAAGATGCAATTTAATTGTAAGACTTGAATTTAATAATACACTGACTTGAAGTCTTCCAAACAGATAAGACTTTAGACAGCGTAAATCAGCACAGTAGTTCCAGATTATTTCAGATTATTATTTAAGCAGCAATATATAAAAAGATTGTATCTTTCTATGTTACAGAACATTCCCTTCAAAAGCATGGCACTTCTGGCTCTGAAGTCACATTTTTCTTAGCAATACTACAGTTAACTAAAATTTCACGTCCAACAGTAGCTGTTGGAAAGTGTTTTCAGAGCAGGGGCGGGGGGCTGCGCAGGGGAAGTATCCAAACCCTTCTTGATTTCAGCTTCTTCATGACAGAATACGAACAGCAACAGTTTAAATCAGGATCTTAACAGAAACTAGATAACCAACCAAAATTCTTCAAGCTCATGCAAAGAAGCCATCTCTCCATCAATGTTGTCTTCTGCATGAAAACCCCTCCTCCCCTGAAGCATTACACCCACCACTTTATTCTTTACGTGTTCAGAGTGAAGTTTTTCAGATTTTTTCCTTTGGTCATTTTTCCTGATAACATTCTTTAAGTAATCTGGAAGTGATGCATAGATGTGGATGTATGTGGCAGAGGAGTATATCCTATGAATTCTTTTAAAGTGTGATACTAATATTGGGAACACCTAACTTGTAAAAACCTAAAAGAGAGATTACTATCCCATTGTAAAGATGGGGACAGAGAGAAGAAACTAATCTGTGTTGGGCAATTGCAGAGACAGGAAGACACCTCAGAGATTTCGGGTTATAGAAGGCTGTTCTAGACAGAGGGGAGAAAACATTGCCGCCTCCCCTCTCCTTTAGGCAGTTTTCCAGTTCTCAAATGGAAAAGGCAATTAAAAATGTTGTCCCAACTCAGGCGCTGGGCTCTGCTTAGTGGCAGTAACGGTGACAGCGGAAATCAAGAGTATGTTATGGCTTGTGCTGATGTCAATAGGGGTTGTTGAATTGTGGGGATTAAAACCCATCACAAATTACCAGGTATGTTGCACAGGGAAACAAAAATGCAGTTGAGGAGCATAAAGCATGCAGCATCTACCAACACTGCAGTAAGGATTCATGTTATTCTCTCTATATATATTCAAACATTTTCATGACATTTTCATGACAAAAGTAGGGAACTTCAAGGAATAAAACAGGGGAAATTAGCGTGCTAACTGGAAGCAATAGCACGACCTTTTCAGGCACCTGCCATGGGCAACAGTAAGTGACAACTAATGATGTTTTGTTGGACAGTTTGGCTTGTCACCTCATAAAGCTGAAACAGAAACAGCTGCAAAGCATAGGGAGGTGGAAAAAGAAGAGAAACAACTATAACTTCAACTGTTTTTAATAGGAACCAGCTTTGCCACTTACACCCTTTCAGCATTAATGCATCTAAGCCACTAGATGGCAAACGGCCTTTGAGGCAGTCAGCAGCAAGACACACTGGTCAATCCCCAAAGCACATGCTTGAGGTTAGACTGAAAGTGAGTATTTTTACCCCCGTAGCATCTTTCAGATTCTACTGCATGTTATATCTGAACAATAGTTAGACTAGGCCAACTCATAATAGTAATGTGGCACAACACAGGTCAAAACCAGATTAAGAGCAGTATTGCAAACTTACGAATTGACCTATCAGCTAACTTGATTTTATTCAAAACCATCTGTGAGCAGGCTTAACAACTGAGTTGACAGAAAATGCTTATTCTTAGTAATGTAATTTGAGAATAGGTATAACTTAAAGGAGGACCAAGTTACTGAACTGGCATACAGTGCTGAGAAAGCTTCACGAGAATATGCAGTCAAAACAATTGCTCTCCAATTCCCACAGCAGGCAATGCCCACCTACAGCGTGCCTGCATCCTCTCACCACAACATACACCCCTTTTGGTTGTCCTGAGGCAACTGTTTGTGGCAGCATACTCTAAAATAGTTCACCTTCCTTAACAGCAAAGGAGGCAAGATAAACTTAACTGCTATAAAGGTCTTCACTTCCAGAGTTAGGCTACATCTGGAACTAAACTAGGCTGGATGTTCCTCCAGCACAGAACACACACCCCTTGGCGCGGGACAACCCCTGTTATTATTAGAGGTACATGGAACCTCTGCAGCAGAGAAGAACCTCTTTGATCTACTCCAAAGTTGAACCCATCTAAAAAGACTAGAGTTGTATATACAGACCTTAGAATGAGTTGGGACTGTTCCTTCAGACTTTCAAAATGAAAAATCTTAGTGTTTCACGGTGCTCAGTAGCTGTGTTCCACTTGAGATAACTGTATTTCATTACCCCATTAATAAGGTATTTCAAGATGAAAGGTGGACTTTGACTTCAAATTACAACCTTTATGTAAGTTGAAAATTTAAAACCTGTTAAGAGCAGTTAGAGACTTTCCATAATATCACTTCCTCAGAAGGGAAATCATGTTCAGCTAAAATATTATAGCTAATTTCCTTCGGTACAAAAATTCCCAAATTAATGACAAATTAATGACTGGGAAGCAGGAACCTATTAAATCAGCAGTGAGACCCTGAAACAAGCCTGATCAGTTGCGACTTCTCATCTGTTCTAAAACAAAGATCTCATTGCAGAACCAAATTCAAATCCAGTATAAAGGATCAATAGCAAATTTGCATTTTATTAACCCAAATAAATGCTGCACTTTATAGTTAGTAATATATTTTAACATCTTAATTTTATTTGTGGGCTTCCTTTCCCTTAAAGGTCCCTTGAGGAATCAAGGTCAAAAACCGACTGTGCTATGAAATCATAGGCAAAGTTCTCTGTTGCTGCCTGATAACCTCCTAGAATAGTGCACGATGCAACACAAAATGACAGACAAGGCTGTGAGCTAAAGACTGTAGATTTCTGCAGCTGCTGAAAAAGCTTTTAGCTTTGCAGTCAGGACCAATTTTAGAAAGAAGCAAAAGAAATACTCAAAAACCCTGGTGCTGGCTGAGCAACCTTCCCCCTCAATGGCATCCTCTCCAGTTGATTCGGTGCACAGAGACCAAGCAAGATCCCTGACACCCATAGGGAGCAGCCAAATGCTGCTGCTCATGCGCCCAGCCCTGCCCTGCGCCTCTGCAGCTGGAAGGAAAGGCTCTGAGGGCAGCAGACCATCCCAATAGCATGTACTGCATTAAAAGATGGATACACACTCCTCTTCCCATCCCTCTGGCCCGCAACATGATTCTGTCTCATGGCTGGACAGGTGGATTCTAAGTAAAGGAGACAAGCAGGTAACAGAACTGGAGCTGTACAGTACTGGCTCTGCAGAGCTCACTTATCACAATACCCACGCTTTGTAGGAAGCGTGATGCTTAACAGAACTGCTCTGCTTCTGCTCCAAGTCCACACTTTGCCATTTCATTAACGAGGACAAAATACTTTATTCCTGGGGTGGCAAAAGATTATTTTCCCTATACTGCTCAGAAGCCTTGTGCCAGCACAGGACAAATTACATTGTCTGGTTTTATTTTTCTTTGCTTCTTTTTTAAAAATAACGCATAGAAGAGATCTGTCTCTTTGTTCCTGATCATATAAAGCTTGTTCCTTTCCTGAAATAACTAGGAGGTTGGGATCAAAGCAAGGAGTCGCACAGAGACTTACCAGGCTAGGCACTAAATCTCATCAAGCTTTCTTCCCTCCTGTGAGCACCCCTCTCAGATCAGGGACGTATCTGGGCCTGAGGATGTAAAATTTCCAATTCAGTGCAGAAACTGCAGGAAGCAAAAGAAGAGATTCACAGGCCATTCACCAGCAAAGGACCCACTAGGAGTTACTGCTGTGCCAGTTTCTCTTCCCTCCAACCAAAGCGTCCCCAGAGGGCTTTTTAGATTCGTTTCCCCAGGCCTTGTGGACTGAGTTAATCTCTCTGTGCATGTTAAATGGTTGAACAAAAATTTGCATTTTTTTTTTCCCCTGGCTGCATTATTAGTTCAGCAAGGATTTAATTGACATCCTTTCTTTGGGATGGAAGAATAAAGGGGCCTTCTGAAGAAAGCAGAGGAGTGTTTTTTTCTGTGATATGCTACATTTGAAAAATGCACTGTCTCGGCTTTCCAGAGTAGCCTTTGACTTTGTAGTGTCAGTGTTAATTTTGCCCCGCACATTTTCACAGTGCATTGGCCTTTAATCACCATTTATATGTAATTTGATCAACTGGTTTTGCTGCCTTATCAATTTCACTTTTAAATTCAACTTTTATTTATCAAAAGATTTTATGTATTAAGTATATGGAAGACTGACACTTTTTTATATGTGAAATGTAATGTAAACCAATGTTCAACTCAAAGGAAAAGCAAAAAAAAATGCAGCAAATATACAAGTCAAATAGTAAAATATTAAGGATGGGATAGCACTAAGTTT